AGAAAATCTTAGTTATAACCTGTATCTATATATATCTCCTATATCTCTGAGTGCAGAGTAAAAAAAAAAAACACACACACACACATAATCATTTTCAACAATAAAAATCAAGAAAATTAATTCCTGCTCGTCATATGATGAAAAGCTGGGATGTGTTTCAGTTAATTTTTTTTATATCCACACTGTTGTTTATAATTAACAGAATGTGTATGTTATAATTTAATATTAAATATCCCTGAATATCCTGGAATTGCATGAACATTGTCATATATGATAGATAATTTTCTTTAAAGTATATTTTTAAGCAGTTATTTATTGTAGCTATACCATTAACCGCCTGGAAACATTTAGTTGAGCCATGGAGTAAACAATGCGTCCCTGTGGGGTTAGCCTAAATGCTGTGAGAATAGATGTCACACATTATCCAGCTAAATGTCCTCGGGCTACACCATGAATTAGACACATCTCCATGTACTTTTCATAGACAGCCAGTAAAGCAGCAGCAGCAGCAGCACACCCATATCTCTAGTTTTGTACAGTGCATGATATTTTTTCAAATGCTTGATTGGCACTGCTCCCAAATAAAGAGATGTGAAAGGAAATGTCTGGGGGAAAGTTGGAGCATCTGGGAGTGATTGAGAGTCGCAGGGCGGGAGCAGGAGCACCAAAAGCCTTGTCCACACGAGCTTAGAGTCATTTACCTATACGAGCTGACTGATGGCTTCTGAAAACAATTAGGTCCTCAGCTCAAAGTAATCCTGACAGCGTGTCTCTATTGTGGAAGTAATAGTTGCTACTGGTGTTTATAAAATACATGCTAACCGTGTGTTTATGAAATACAAGCTAACCGTGTCAACATTTAAAGTCATTTAGTGGATTGAGAGCAATTTAGAAAATCAGTAGATTAAGGCCCTTTATCCTACATTGATCTTGGATGGTTTCACTGCTTTTCAACGGCTGCCATAGCTTCTGTCATGCTTCCAATTTCTTTCATTTTCAGTAAGAGTCAAAAACCCAGAAAATATCATTTTAGTAAAACACATTTACTGTGAATTTACTGGATGGAAACATAAATGACTGATGTAGACCAAAAACAATATGCCTGAAGAAGAGTGTATTTCTTCTGGAACAAGGCCCGTTTAACAAAAGTCACTTGTGCTTTTAGAGACAAAACATTATTTCAAAGTCTAGGAACGCCATTTGAAGAGGAGGTAGGGATTAAACCAAGGAAGAATTAAAGTATGCATTTTTTTTTTTTTTTTTTTTTGTTTTCATCTTTGCAATCAGAAAAATAAAGCATTTTAGAGCAAGTCTGTTGCATTAATTAACAACTACCACTTTTCCCCTGTGGTTTCAGAGCACTTTGAAGATTCCTTCACAATAGAACCAAAGACTCCACCATTTACCAGCCCAAGAAAGAGAAAGATCCCTGTGATCGGATCACAATGCCACATGTTAGCTGATTGCAGGCACAGAATTTGTATGGTAAAAGCAAAAAGCCCTCGGGATTCATGACAGGAAAAATCCCAAAGAGAAAGCGCTGCCAATAGTCTCCTGTATGACTGCTCACAGATTTGTCCTTTACTTTCTTGCTTTAAGACAGAGAGATGTTCTAATCCTTGGCTCATTGTTTCTGGCCAAGAGAAGCTGCAGAGGAGTGGGATCTTTGCCAAAGAGGCCCATAGAAGTTAATAGGTTCTTTCTATGCTGACAGTGAAATCTTGGCTCGCGTCATCATGATCTTCCAAGGCTTTATCTACTGTACTGGTTTTGACGATAATCTTTAAAGAGAAAAATGTGCATAGGACAATGTCGGGCAGGAGGGAGATGTCTAAAAGCAATGGTTTAACCAGGACTTACAGCAGATGGAATTATAACTTATCTAAAGCTGATTTGTCTCCCAGCACTAAACACAATGAAGGAAATGAGATTCATGTTTTGATACACAGTTTACACATCGTATGCCATCACCACCACACATTACTTGATTTATCCGATTAAAAAAAACACATAGACTGCAGCACTGTCAGAATTATCAAGTTGAAAGAGACTTTTTTCCCAGTGTGGGTCCTCCGTAATGTGCAGATGTTAACAAAAAGGCTTTATTTAAGGGAAAGACAGGTGCTTTTGAGCTATTTTGGGAACAATGATGCATGCCTGCTGCTAAATCATCATAAGGCAATACCGCTGTGGATACTGTAAAATGTTGAGGTGGAGATGGCAGAGTTGGGGCATAAAAAGAAGTGTTTTAGACAACATCAAGCCCCAAAGAGAGACTCACAACCTTCTTCACTGGCTTTCCTCACATGTCTTCTTCCCTTTTGCCAAGTGCCAAGAAAGAAAACTAGACGCATTTCCACTCAAACTTGCCCACAGGTGCTTGCAAGCTTGCCGAGATAAGTCAGGGTTACACAAGAATGCTGAGAAAGAATTTTGTGGGCTCCGTAAAACTGACACCTCTCCCAAACATGTAATTAATCACCAAAGTTGTGGCAAACTATTAGTTAGAAGATGACAGGCAGGGGTTGGGAAGTGGCAAGGAGAAAAAGGTTGATTCACAAACGCGGGCTAAGAATAGTGTGCGTGCATGAGCCACTGTGTGTTTGTGTGTGTTTGCGTGTGTGTGTGTGTTCATGCATCTTCTCCACTGATCACAGGCTCCAGAAGAGAAACACAGCCACTGGGCCCAGAGCTCTGAGCAGCCAGGTCGGATTAGGTTAGTGTCATTTGGCCTGGGTGCTGATAACACTACATACAATGAGTGGCACTTCCCTAGCGCCACTTCACCCCGGCTATCCCGCACTTGTCACTCAGATAGGCTGTCAGTTAGAAAGGAGATAGCAAAGGATGGATAAAGGAGGGCTGGTCATATACAGTTAGCTACAGTAGTTGTGTAGAAAATATATGTATGTTTGATTTGACTTTGAAATCATTGAACCATAAGGGAAATAACTTAGACAAAGCAGCTCACAAATTAAAAGATAAGCATAGATAACCACCATATATATTTCAATATAATTTTTCTGCAGTGTTTATTGAAGTAAGTCGTTTGCCTTATGCAAGTTTTTACAATTATGTAGATGAGTATTTTATCATGCTTTTTAAAAACAATATTGTATTTGTATTGTCCATTATTATTATAGTTAAAACTTGGGGAACAGTATTTGAGAGAAAATGATGATTTTGTATTTTCTAATGCATTTTGTCTGGCCAAGGATGTGAAAAATCAGACACCTTTTCCAATTGTAATATCACTGATAATAGCATGGCTGTCACAGTTACATTAAAGACTTCAGCTACTACAGAAATAAACAATTGTCTACTCTACTGCCCAATAATTAATCTTTACTCTACTTCTACTAATACTTTAACATTTAGTGGCATGTGCAACGGCATGCGTCTATGGACTCTTGCTTAAAATTGCACTTTCTTGAGTACAAACCCAAACATGATTTCACAAGTGTCTTTACAAGAGTAAGATGTGAATGTGGCTAAGGATGGGGATCACTTAAGGTACAGCCTGCAGATGGAAGGTTGACTGACACGTTATCACTCTTCCTAATCGGAGTAGACAAGATACCAGTGGTGTTGTGGGGATGACCATGGGACTGAGGCTTTGGCAACTTGGGTATAGGGGGCACAACTGTCTAAACCAATTTCACTCCAGACTTTGCCTTAACACATGCTAAGCCTACCTTATACCTTACTTTTAAACAATAAACCAAAAAGTTACCCCCTTTCTATTTTGGAAATCCCTCTAAAATACACAAGCAGTTTTAAGCTGTTTCACGCTCTTCGCCTTCGTTCCAATTACTGTTTTATAAAAGGCTCATCACCTTTTCACACATATCATCGGCGATTAACCTCCTGGAATAACATGGGCAAAGCTTCTCCTGGACAGATTTACTGAGTATGTCAACATGCATCGGTTCAGCTCGGATCGAACCACGTCAAACCCTTATACCTCTCCATTTCAGCTGCCAAACACCCAAACTGAACTGGCACCACCAAAGCATCCCCCAAAATGCTAAAGGTGTATGCTTAAGAAATATTAATGTCATATTTAATCAATCAAATTTCCCTGGAAGAAAATCCTGTTTGAGGTGTAGCAGCATTAGCAATTTTTAGCTTTGGTGAAGTCTGGATATCCCAACAATGCACCTTCTCTCTGCCTGTCAAAATATTTTGCCTTTTGTCCCATAGAAGGCCCTTAGCGTGTGGGGCTAGAGTGAGCAAAGGCAATGTCGCCACCTGTAGGTACATACAAGGCACTGCACTTGACAAACACCTTTTAGGCTTTTAAGTTTTTTGTGAAAAATATGGAATGTTTTTCGGTTTTAGTAATAATAATAATAATAATAATAATAATAATAATATGTGGATAGAAAATAGCAATGTGTGTTAGGCATCATATGAGAATACATACATTAATTTACTCTAATAAAGATGTTGTAACCCAGGTTATCATCTGGAACATTCTAGGCAAACCAATAACATCCATTGTGAAAACCAAGAAGAGTTCAATAGCAAAAACAGATATCTCGGTTTTGAATTTGCCTTTTTTTTTTTTTTTTTTTACCATTTTCTAAAGATAATTTCAATGACAATGTAATCTATACAGGATTTTATAAAGAGGGTCTGGAATTATATTTTGGTAGAAGTAAAACAGATTTGTCTTTTGAAAATATTAATATATTAAGAGTATTGTGCAAGCCTCTGATGATTTTTCAAATGACACTTAATTGTTTTTGCAAATGAAGTCTTCATAGTACATAGCAGACCTTCCTCCATCAGAAAAGTTATATGACACTGTTAAATATGCATATATGACATACAAACTAGACAGTTCTATTCAAACTAATAATACAATTTAATAATTAACATTAAAATGATCATTCTCTACTTTTTGCCACTTTTTGACCAAAGTTTCACTGCCAACCTGCAGTACACCTTCCAAACAGGTTACATGCTGTAAAATGTAATAACTAAAATCAACATGCTACAGTAGACAAACTTTTAATAAAAGTATTATCAGGTGCAGTACATCTGGAGCTTTAGAAAGACATTCAAGAGTGGAATAGTATAAGTAAGCTTGTGTGTTTCTATACATTCTTATATACAATGTAGTTTAATAGGATAATACAGAGCTTAGTGAATTGAATGTACAAGGCAAGGCAAATTAATGTGGTAATGAAAGAGTATAATGAAAAAGGCACTCCATTGTAAAGAGACACATACAAAAACAGCACAGTGCTTCTTTATGTGATGTTGTGGGTAAATTAAAAAGTCGTAAACAAATATAGTTCTACAAAATGTCTCAGGGTAATAAGATGACATCCAATATGTGATTAGGCATACCAACCAAGAGAGCAGTAATTTATATATAAAATACACACAGAAAATTGGGAGTAGGAAGTAATGCTTGTTATGTGAAAAAATGGTTATGGAAAAAAAAAAAACAAGTTTGTGATCATTTGTCATCCGTTTGTTCCCCCTCTCTATCATTTTGAGTGTATCGCAACAATAAGTTATTTTGGTTCACAAGGAAAAGGTCTTATACAAAACAAATGAGGCTGGCTTCACGCTAAGATAAAACAATATTGAAAGTTTCACGCAACAGAAAGTAGTTTTACTGAGAGTATAAGAGCAATTTCCTGAGCGTCTATACACGGGCGTGTCGCAGAATCATTGTGGTGATATGGTTTCGACGTAATTGGCTGGGAACAAGCCTTGACGGCCATCTTGGCTCCAGCCTCTCCACCAACCTTTGTCCACAGCCTCCACATCCCTAATGATGTCACCCAGTTCAAAGGAGAGCTCTGATTCGTCCTCTGTATAAAAGACCACAAAATAACATGGTGAAGACCGGTTAATCATACCTCCTTGTATGAGGAAGTACAAGAAGCACTTATGGCATGCACGTGCTTCACAGTTATGCTCTGAAATTGCAGCTGCTTACCTGCTTGATAGTCGTACAATGCTCGGACACACATTTGTGGCTCGGCTAAAACCTATGGAAAAAGTAAGAAGTGGATCTGAAAATGGCTGTAATCACCAATGGTCTTTATGTCTTTCTTCAAACTAAATTCACTACTTCAAGAACAGAAAAAGTACACTCGGTTTTTACACAGGTCAGACTGCCTATGCATCCACATCTGGGTAACCCTAGTTGACTTCACTTTGACCTCTGATGATGTTTTGTTTTGGAGATGTACTGAACCACAATTGAACCATTGTGACTTAACATTTTATACAGCCATTTTTTGCCAGTGTTTATTGTTATGAGGTCAAGATCGAAAAAGGTTGAAAATTACTGTAATAACGTCCATCCCCAGAAAAGCCATAAGGTTTGGGTTATTATTATGCTATTCTTTACTGCTGGTTGATTTCAGATGATATTAAAGAATGTGATGACGTGAAACCTGTTTATAGGTGGTAGAAGGCAATTTTTTATAATCATGGTGCTGTATTTTGTGATAAACGAGCAAATTATGAAACAAATACTGGTGTTGTTTAGTTTCATGATTTCCCTATACCACACCAAAAATCCGCAGATTAACAGAATCAGTTTCACCAGCCTCAATTCCTTTCCAACTTTTTAGGGCTAGAGAACGCTGTGATGTAATCTGAAACCTCAAAATACCTCTTCTCCATTCTCTGACACCGTGATATATTTTTGGATGCAAACATCATCTTCATCATCATCATCATCCTCCTCCTGCACATTACAGTACACTGCCAGCTCAGGACTGTCCAGCTCAGGATCAGATGGACTTAAAGAGTGATCTGCAAAAATATCATGACTGTTTTTTTAGAATTCATGTGATACTCGACATTTTGCTACCTGCTTGACAACTGTATATCTAACCTGTTCCGTTGTGCTCCCGTGAGTTTCCGTTTGTGATCACATCTATTCCCAGATCTGGTGTCACACATTTGATTTCGAGGCTCTCCTCAGATATGGGTTCTAGACAAAATTACAACATGCAAAAATTACTTCAGTGTAATTAAAAAGTAATTCTAAAGTTAATGAATAGACACAAGATTGTGGTTAGAGATAGAAGTGTGAGAGGACGACTTGCATTTACTGTTGGTCATACTACCTTGTAAATGCCCAAAGCTAAGCATGGTTGGGCTTCGTTAGTATTTGGATGGGAGGCCGCTGGGATTGGCGGCCTGGATTCTGTCAGTTTGACCCAGGGCAGCTGTGACTACAATAGCAGTTTACTACCACCAAATGTGGAGTGAATGAACAACGCACAAAATTGTTAAGTGAAATTAAATTGAAAAGTGCTATATAAGACAAATGCTTTATAATTGTTAAGACAAGTGAATACTTAATAAGCTTTTTTTGTTAAAGATATTGAGATAATGCAGATAAATATGGAGCCTAGAGGAAGACCTTTTATGAGTCTAAAGAAAGAGCGTGTGCTCTTTTTCTCTTTTTTAAACTACTGTAGTTTTGTATCCAAGGCACTTTTCCAAAACTGCCTGTTTTAGTGTGAGATTGGTGTGAATTAAGATTTACTGTTGCTTTAAGTACTTAACTTACCTATGATCTCTGAACTGTCCTTATGTTGTGTAAGCAAAGCAGGTTCATTCGATTCTGACTGGTCAGACACCTCTTCAGTAACCATGTCCTCGATCTCTTGCTCCTCTGATGTTACATGGACAAGTTCCTTCTCCATAATCTGCTCTGTCTGTTCTTCTGCTTCCTTCACCTCAGTCTCAGTGTTTTCTTCCTCCTCTGTCTGGACCTGCTCCTCCTCTGCTGAAGTCTCCTCTGGTTTTGTGGGGTTTTGAGGTTCAGCTTTCTCCTCTTTGACCTCTTCTTCCTCAATAGTCTCCGCTTGTTCTAGTTGTGTTCGGGTCTCATTTCCCCCCACAGGCTCTTCTGGATCGGGCTGTGGTTCTCTTTTGGGTTGAGTGTCCTCTTTCTCCTTCACATCTTCCTCTTCCTCTTCATCCTCTTCTACAAGAACAGTCTGTACTTTGTAGCTGATTTCTGAGGCCAGCTCAGCAGCTGCAAAAAAAAAAAAAAAATAGTTTGTTAAGATGTCCACGATCCAATTAATAATTTACATAACAACATTCATTTAAATCTTTCACTTTATCTGTACCATTACTCAAGTTTTTTTTGTTTTTTTTCCAGTCTTGTTTCAGGTGCACTAGTTCTGGTGGAAAGTCTACCACCTGTTTGTCTCTGCTCCGCAGTAATGGTATACATTTGTATCTAAATTTCAAGTATTCTATTACCAAAAAAATACGTTAGTTTGTTGAACCACCTCCCTACATCATTGTGCATTGTGGAAAATTCCAAGCAAAACAAAAACATCTCTATGGAGAAAGGAATGGTTTGGCCTTCACAGCACCGCTTTATCTCACACGCATATTTTAACCTCTTTCACCTGATATTGGTTGGTCTGGTAGTGAAGCCCTTGGTGCTGGCGGGGTTGTACTTGATTCAAAACTGAAAGTATTTTGCTCTGTGACATTCGGTGGTGATCCTGGTACAGCCTCGTCTGAAGAAGGCCCCACAGTGGATATTAATGTTGGGGAGGCTGGAGGAGCAGAGGGCTCTGAGGGTGACCGCGGCCTCCCCCTCACCTGAATGTTAGCTAATGGGACACTGGGCAGGGCAGAGGATGGTGGGGCAGGACGCAGGGGCGATAGGGGAGGGGATAGGGTGGTTCTTTGTGGAGAGGTGGATGGGTGAAATACTGGACTTGTGGGTGGAGATGTGGCCCGGTTGAATGAGGGGGGAGCTCTGGAGAAGGGGGACACTAGAGGAGAACTACGAGGGGAGGAGGCAGTGCTCTCTTCAGCTTTGGAGAAGATGAAAGCTGTGTCTGTCAAACTGCGCTGGTAACGCCTGAACGGTTTACCTGCGGAACATAATAAAAGCCATGACAAGGTGTTTTAATTTACTGAAATAATAAATGTACTAGACAAATACTACAGAGGTGTTCTAGACAGTAAACATTTTTCCATCTCAAACATACCAGAGCGAGAGGGACTGGTGGGACTCTGTGACGAAGATGAAGAGAGCTGTCTGAAGAATTCTCGAGGGTTCATGGTACGTTGGGACACTAACGCTGCGGCCTCCTACATCACACAAACACAATGTTGTTTAATATCAACAGGTAAGTTAAAGAAGGTAAGGCCCAAGATGACTTTTATTATTGCTAAGTAGTGATAAACTTTGTTGCTAGAAGATTACTACTTACGATTTTTCAAAGTCATAGGTGCACTAGGTAAATTTTCTGGTGAATGGTCCATCACCTGCTTGTCTTTATGAAGACCTTACTGCTTTATGCTGCCTATGCAGTTCTGCACTATGGCATTAATATGATCTATTTATGTGGAGACAGAAGGTGATGCTACAAATACAAGTTACAGGCTACATCTGTGGAGAATGGATATTCTTAAGGTATGTTTAGTAAAAGAAATACATTTAACTAAATAGATGCAAGATATATCTTTTTACTGCCATACTGTGGAGCAGTGCAAAAGCAATAATGTATCTTTGGAGACAAGCAAGTTGTTGACTCTCAATTTGTCACAAGCATGTATAATCTCACTACAATTGGTATTGTTTACTTATTATTTAAAGAAAATATTAATTTATTTGGTCTAAAAGTAGAAGCTCCTGTCTTAAAAGCTACCAGAGTCTACTGTTTTTCACTTAGATTCAGTGTAACTGTGGTCCTGCCCTAACACACTGCTAATTCTAAACATCCCTGGCATTGTGCACAAGTCTGTCTGACATGGACTTACTGCTGCTTTCTCAATCGATTCACTTCTTTTGAGGCGCGCTCTCATCTCCTCCTCGTGCTCCCTCTGCTGCTGCTCCTGTCAGCACAAACACAGAAACACGTGTCATGGCCCTGCTCCCAGCGTAACCACTCAAAAGTCACAGGAAACATGCATGTGGCTCTACACAAACAGGGTTTGATGTATATGGATTACGCAGACACCATTGGAGATAACACAGTGTCAGAAATATTGTCATCCCTGTTGTACTTTTGCCATGACGCCACTAAGTGAAAGAAACAGAGTGTCACTTTATCCTATCTTTGCCTAAAGATTGTGTAGTTTCCCTGTTCTTCACTTATGCAGTGCACAACTAGTCACATTTGTGTCTATAGATATATCTTTTTTCCAAAAGTTAATTTAAATCAAACTTTTTCACTTGTAATGATCCTGCCTCAAGTGTGCCTATTTGTATTTTAGCACTATTTATTTTATAACTAACCCATTTTAATTTCTCTTTTCTGCGTTCCTCTTCTTCTTGCTCCGCTGCTTTCCTTCTGCAAGACGAGAGACATGTGTTTCACCAGATATGGCCACAAGAGGTCAGTATGAGCAGAGTTTCAAACAACATTCCTAACCTCTGCTCTTCTATCATCTTTAGCTTCTCATTCATTTTTCTATCTCTCTCCTCTGCATCTTGTTTTTCTTTCAATGCTCTTTCTCTCTCCAGTCTCCGTCTTTCGTCTGCTGCCCTCCTCCTCTCTTCCTCTTTTCTCTCCTCTTCTTCACGCTGAAAAACAACACAGAAATGTACTGAAAATGCATAGGGTTTTTAGTTTGAGAAGGCTAATGGTGAAATATACCTCTGCTCGTGCCCAAAAGGAATCCCTGTTTGCTAGTCGCATCTCCATGGCAGCATTAGTTTTTCTGTAATTTGTGCCCTGTATCAGAGAATAACAATTGACAACATACAAAATCAATTACTCTGTGTTCCCTTGTCATTAGCTTTCTCATAGTTTCATGCATGTTTGAGTAATGTATTGTTCTGCATTCGGAGCTTAAGTGCACCTTACCCAACTAACATGCATTTATTCCAACACTTTTAGCCTCAGAGTCATATATAGGTTTAAAAATGTGGTATGGTCAGATGGTCAATGAACCTCCATAGCTTGGTACAGTGAAAGTCAACTATGACAAGGTTTTGAACAGAAAGTTAATGGACCAATTTGTTTAACTAAGTCATTTTAAATCAATTTTGCAGTTTACAGTGAACAAAATGTTAAATAAATATCTACATATGTAAAAGCACTATTTAAGAAGCATGTGTATCCTTTATGATTGGGAATGAAAGTAAGCTTGTTAGTCAAATACTGTGGTTACCAGTAATTTGTCTACAAGTTGTAACAGTTGAGAGAATGGAGTGATAAACAAGCAGTCATTGTCTCCCTCTAGTGGATATTTGGGGTGTTACATGAAACCTACCACAACATCTTTTCTGTCCAGTGATGATTGCGAGCTTCTCCTCAGCCACTGTGTTGAAGCATTAGTTTGGGCCTTACTGAGCTCAGCCCTGATCCTCTCTTCTGTGACCTCCTCAGCCTTCTCTGCTTTGAGAAACACATGCACTTCCTGAAACACACAAGTCAAATGCATAAGAACTCTAACATAAATCATGTGTTACAAAACAGACATAAATCTACACATACAGTCCTTTTGGTTTTCATTTACTGTGTGTAAAAGCTATGCACTCTCACAGCCAAAAAGTTGTGCAACAGCTCTGTTTTAAACACTGAGAACAAAACCAGGCTTAGGCACAAGAGGAGCAACATGGTGGTTTGGGTGGTTAAGGGAAAAGTGGTGAAATGTGACACATCTGAAGGAGGGGCAGGCCAGAGAAAACTCTCTTGCAACAAAACTGAGAAGGTATCACTTTACATGAACATGTAAAATGCAAAATGCTTTTCTTAATGTAACTATACTAAATGGATTTATAAAGCTTTTAAAAACAAACTTTGACCTGTGTTTTGTTTCATTTGCACATATGATTGAGTACTCATGCAGTTTGGTCCCTTTCCATCATAATATTGTTTTTCACCTACTGATGTCACAAGGAGGTGTGTTCGTTCTTCAGGAAGTCTGTCTTGTTTAAGCTTATATAAACTGCTTCTCTGTGCTGGCACCATTATGGCAAAATGTTAATGTTACACATAATTTAGAATGTAGATAAAAGTTTTTCATAAAATTTCATAATTTAAAGTTAACTAAACTTTACTGTCCTGTAATGGGACCATTTTCTTTCAGAGATAATATCTTGCTGTGTTTTAGGGCTAAGTAGAATTATTCAAAATTATTATTTACAAACATAAGCAATGTTTAGCGATGCCTGGTGCAGGGTATACAATTACTTTTGTGTGACCTGAGAATCTTTTCCTCCATGAAAAGTCTGTATGTTGTGGATGGAGAGCCAGGACTGTCAAACTCCAGGAAACCACAACTCGAAGTGAATGACAACACTGACAGTGACACTGAGCCAAGCACACAAAACACCGTGTAATATAATGTCAGTGCAGTGTGTAATCCACATCACTCTGTCACACTCATGCACACAGACAAACACACAACACAGACACAGGCACACATACACTTAGAGGCCCCTGTGGCATTGTCAGGGTATGTGTGCGAGATTGTGATTTTTGTGTGAATTCAGACAACAGATCCAGGTGTTTTTGTCACTTTTTACATTACTTCAAGCCCAGAAAGCCAAAAAATTTAAATAATAGTTACTATGTATCTATTGTAAAGGGGTGTAGGTCACTTGTCTTCGTTGAGATATTATTGTTTTGCCTGAAATATTCCACTTTATTATTACTGTTAAAATACTATGAAAAACATACATTCCATGAACAGGGTCTCAATGGAACATTTCAGGCAAAGTAGAAACATCTCCATGGAGAGAAGCTGAAAAGCTGCATCGTGCACCTGTAAATTACTGCTTTTAGGCTCAATTAAAATGAACTCAACAAATTAATTTTTACTTGTTTGGAACTTTTGACTATTATTCTTCATTATAGCCTGCTGTGACGCAACTTTATGTTATGCATTTCAGGACTTGAAAACAAACTACACAATGGGTGAAAAGATGACAATCTTTAGGTTTTCATAAGTTATTCCAACAATGAAGCAGTGTATCCACACCCAAATGTGCAGGCTCGCCTCGACAAAACCCCTCACAGCTAGCTGGGACATGCAGCTAGTTAGAGCCTAAAGAAGCTAAGGTGATGGTTGAGATGTTATGAATATGATTCAACCAGACAGAATACGTGCTACTAGTATCTGTTCAGCATTAGGCTTACTGTAAAAGTGTATGGTGTTAGTGAAATATTATATTTTGTAAATTATACTGAAAACCCAGACAACTCTGGATTAAGAAGACATGCACAGTTGGATAATGTGTATGACACATTATATTTATATTATATAATAATATATTATACAAGACACATTTTTTGACACTATTTCAGTTGAACTCTTGGTGTGTGTGAATGATTTACTGTACATGCTGATATGTATCAGTAGAATTTGGTGGCTTCTACTGCGACGCCTATAACACAGCTATGCCTTGAGTAAGCAGAGAACCAAATTTCCCACATGTTCGTTCACACATCAAACACAGAACATGCATGATTATTCATCTAATCTAACCCTAATTATGTAAAGCCCAGGGGAATATATATATAACCCGCCACATACACACACCCATAACATGTGATGGACGAGTGAGGGGCTTCCAGACAGCTCCCAAAACTCCCAGACCCTACTCAGGCTTTCAAAAACATGGACAAAAAACAACAAACATTCCACAAATGCTTGGCCAGTTGACTGGGTGATGCCTTTATATGGAAACCAGTAACTCAAGGGTCATTTAACCCTCTCTGCTTTCACAAAGGACCTAGTGGGAAATGTGAAGCCACAAGATAGCCATCCACCCGTACTAGAGCCTGGCTAATATGACTCTTTAGAACTAAGATTGTTTTTCTTGTTCTTATATGTGGCATTATTTGTGATTATAAATATATAAAAAGAGAGTGTGTGGGCCATAAAAAGCAGAAGTTTGAAATTCTTGTCAGACAGAACAAACAGTAATGGGACAGGAACTGAGCACAGGAAGCCCAAAACAATGCAAAGTAAATCAATGTGGGTAAATATAGAGTGCCAAAGTGCAGGGATGACGAAAGATACAAGACATTTAAAAACACTACAATTACCACCATTTATATATTTTTAAGATAATAAAAATAAAGACTCTGGAGCTATTATGTTGAAGTTTGTGTACCTTGAAAAAGTTTTTGATTGCCGGGATGTGGCTGGCACATTCTGTCCTTCTGTAGTCGTCCACTTCTTGACCCATCTGAAGACAAAAGCAGGAAGCAGACACTTACATTCATGCCATACCTTTCTCAAAACAAGACAATCTAAGCCAGAAGGATGACAAAACTGAGGGAGAAATACATGTGCGAGCACTAGTATAGTTGAATGAAAACTTTCAAAATCAAACTTTTAAGTACTCACCCAGATAATCATGGCGGATCTGGGACTTCCACTCTCTGGGCTCCCCAATCTGCAGAGTCCATACTGGGGTTGGGAGATGTGGAACTTGGATGCCAGCTCTGACACGCCACCAGCTGCGAGAAAAACAAATTCACAGAAAACAAATAATGATATAGTATGATTTTATTGAACACTTTTTGATCTATCTTTTATACTTGATGAAAGACATATTATAAGCACACAGATATTTCACTTAAAGCTCCTATATTACACAAAATTGAATCTTGGAAGCTTTAAGCTGTGCTATAATGTTGTTATCGTTGCAAAAACATACCTAGAAATGTGTTTTATTTCATTCACACCTGTTTGAGTAATCCTTCATTATTCATCTTTCTACACCTCCAAAGCTCAAAATGCTCTGTTCCACCTTGTGATGTCATGAAGCTGTAGTTTTCAAGTTAGAAATTAGAAATTCCAGATCTGAAAATATCCAAATAATTCAAGTCACAGTTTAAGGAGTTTAAAAACAAAGTGAAGCACTTCCTGTAATACCACATGACATCACAAGATGGAAGATGTTTTCTACTTGAGAGAAGAACTCAGCCCAAATATGCAAGATGTGCAGGGTGAATGAAACAAAACAAAATCCAGGTATGTTTTTGAAACACTATAACACAAATTAGAAAATAGGGTAATATAGGCCATTTAAACAAGGAAAAAGGTAACTGTTTTAGTTTTAGTTATTGCTTGGATACTGCTGTTAATGCTGGGGGCGACTGAGAGGACAATGACGAGTACATGGGCGAAACCAATACGCCCTGTAGGGACTCAGGCCTAATTAAACTCATTGAAAGCATGTGTAATTACCATGTGACACACTATATACATATTGCATTTGAATGAATACAAGAGCCAACTGAAATTTTGAGTGACTGCTATGACCTACTGCATCATAACAGCTGTATTTGCTAGTTATTTGGGACCTCACGTTGAAAATTTGCATTGCGCACCACTTGTGACTATGCACCTTACCCCCTGAGTCAGCCAGTCGGAGCTTGTTGCTGATTCCATCGTAGACGAACAGTGCCCTGTAGACACACCAAAGGTCAAACACTCAAAAACGCGCAGTGAAAGTCATGCATTCATATACCATCTTATTAAGTACATGAGTAAATGTATAGGTGAAAGTGGAAAGCTGTGCACAAGAGTTACAGCATGTGCAGAACAATTGCGGACATCTGGTTGTACAAGACTTTCAGTGCTGTTCAGTGCCCAAGGGAAGAATCTGACAGACTTACATGGTCAAAAATGTTGAAGTACATACTTTGAGTAAAGCAAAACATGCCTTCTGGAGTTCCTTACATGTTACATTGCTTATGTTTTTGTTCATTTCCCTTCCTCCCTATGATACCCACCTGCACCTTCTAGATGTGGTTTATGTCTAGGTGCTCAAGTATAAAAATTGATGGATAAAACTAACATCTTTGCCGTTCCCTGCTGGAGCATCTGTGCAGGTAAAGGCCTGTCCAACCACTCCCAAAGTCACACAGACTTCAGTTGTAGAAACAGAGCTGTTTTCATTAGCAACCTAATTGCTCCCATTTAAAAGAATAACATTTACTGCATCATTTTCAAAGTGTTACACTGCACAGTAAACAATACAACAAGTATTAGCTTGGAAAGTTTTGAAACCTTTGCTACTATGAATGCACCTCTATGCCTTGACTTGCCAAAGTGTGAGAAGTTTCTTATCTGATGATTTGTTATTAGTCAGTCATATATGTACACACACACGCACACACAAAATGTTATATGTAACATTTTGTACAACTTTAAATTTATTTAAAAGTGTGTTGCGTGATGTTATTACTTTGTCTGAAGATGAGATTAATCTTATCTACTTCCATGAAGACAAGAAAGTGAGAGCACCAGGCCAACTTCAGATATGTGGTAAGGCAAGCCTACTTAGAGTAAGCATGTGTGTTTTTCAATTTGTTTATCTGAATAAAGCAAGATAGAAATGCTGCAGGGAAAGCAATTATGCATGGAGACAAAAACGTATCCCCCCTGCCAGAAAAGTTACATATTGCACTTTTAATATACACACAATTACAGTGCAGATTCATATTAATGCTATTTTGTGTGTGTTATCTGGGCTGATCTTAAACTGTGTGTCTGTCTTCCTGAGGTAACAGTGTGTGACTAAAGACGCCTGTGCAGTGATGAATAGCTCTCTCATCTGTGTAGGAGCCTGAGCGCTTGTCAGTGTAAATTTCTTTGCAGAACTTCAGGGGGCGTGTCAAAAACATCTGCACGCCACAAGCTGCTATTACTACAGGTCAAAGGTCAAACTAAAGGTCTTTGCATAATAAAACTCTGCCATGCAATGAAAAAAAAAAACATTGAATCATTTGTGGTGTTAAAACTAAGCCTTGTCGACTGGTGTGTGTATTCATAGATCAGCCTGTCAAGATAACAAATGTTGAAGTGCGATATATTGCTGAAGTACATACAGATGACAAACAATAAAACTAAAACTAATTTAAGCCACTGACATGTAAACCAAAGAGCAGATTTAATTCATAAAAAATATTCTAAATCTACAATACGGAGAAAAAAAAAAAAATACGAGCTGCAATAAATAAACAGCAGAATCAAACTCTTTAGTACTTAGTTTGCATCTGTAACAAGTCAAATCAAAAAGCCAAAAAGTGCAATTACAAATAAAAAGTACCCACGATAAATACTGTCCCCGAAAAAATACTGCCCCAGCTTTCAAAAGTCGATAAGTCTATGTAGTAATTATCGCGACGGGCCTATTCATAAACACATTGAAATGCAAGCCTATTTTTACAGGTTTAAACAGTGAATATTCAGTTTAACTAACCCATTTACCAAAAGTGCAGTGTGTACTAAAGATGTTCTGTATTATGAGCACAATATAAAAAGGTGATGACAGAGGTAGCAGTACATATACATGAGTACAAATTTAAAAAAAATGTGTAGTAAATAATAAATGTCTATTAATGAATAATGGAGATTGAAAGAAAAAAATAACCATTGTTTTAATTATCAGTGGTATGTTTAAGGTGATCATAGGTCATCATACTGAAAAAAAGAAAGCTCTTAAACAACTTTATATCCTATATGCTTCTTGACAAACAACAATATGGGTGATTTGTCACAAATGTGGGATAAAGGTGAGTTGTAGCAGCTGCAGTGTAGTTTTATAAGATACAGCATGTTATGAATGTTATTTACAAGTATATATTTTTTAAATTACAGTTTCTATCAGATATATTCCATTGCATTAAAATATGTATTTACTTTTGCATGCCCTTATCATTTATATATTTGAAAGGGCCAATATAACGCTATTTTCTGATCTATGTTATAATATTGATTCCTTTTCAAAAACATGTATGGAGTTGTGTTTTCTTTCATTCACACGTTTACACAGAAATCCTGCATATTTTTGTTTAAGTTGTGTTCATCTCTCAGACTGAAAACACCTTGTGACATCATACAGGAAGTGTTAAACTGTGTCTTCTCTAGGTTCATCTAGAATCATTTGGATGATTTCAACCCTGGAATTTCCAATCTCCACTCAACTAAGGTAGCTGTTAACTTGAAAACTACTACTCCATGACATCACAAGGTGGAACAGAGCATATTGAGCTTTCAAGATGTAGACAGAGTATGGGCTACTCAAACGTGTGAATGAAACAAAACACAAGTCTAGGTATGTTTTTGAGGAGGTAACAGCATTATAACATGGCTTAAAGTTCACTAGAGTAAGAGAATGTTGTGTAATACAGGATCTTTGAGCCTCATACTTGTCTGGGGTATGAATCCTGTTCACTGAGAATGACCATACAAGTTCTGAACCATTGAACCATCTTGCATGAATAACTGTCATTTTAGTGCAGACAGTCTTCTTTTGTAACAGCAAAGAATAACAATACCAGTCAGTGTTTGTAGAGGAAACAAAGAAGCAGTCTCCATATTGAGTGTGCTATAGAAACTGGCCTATTTCAGTGCGCTGATATCGATCTTTTTCTCTTTTTTCATAAACTGACATTTGTAAATTGTTTTTAATTTTTACAGACATTGAAGTCCTGTGTTATTTGAGCTGATTTTATGGCACCACCTACTCTCCATCTTTAGCCCTGTCAGCATCTAAGTTAAGACCAAACTCCACATCACTGATCCTAAGTCATGGAGGCATTCCTTAAGGTTACCGTTCACGAGCCGCTGGGGTCAGAGGTCACCTCTTCTGAGGTACCGTGGAAAAATGTACAAAAGTCTCCAACTCAAAACCATGGGGTCAGACAAAGTTGACACGACAATATATGACTGCAGTCTTTTTTTTCTCTCTTCTGTAAAAGTTATCTATTACAAATGCTATATAGTTAACAAGGTTTTGGTGCCGTTTATCTTTAGCTGAAGTTTGTAAGCATTGTGATAACCTGACCTTACGTTATTCAAAAATATGTATACATGATAAGTTAAGTTCCCAGCAAACAATTCATATTTAAAAGTAAATATTTTATTACTTTAAACTTTAGATGTTTTTTTTTTTTTTTTAATGTTCAAAATATTTTTGTCTACATAGAAAAAATATAAATAAAGACAGGAATAAAGTACATGCAAAACCAATGCATATTTATCTGTTTAAAGCAAGTTTTAGACTACACCGAAAAGCAGAGAATATTCACCTATATCACCAATTTGTTGCATTGTAATTCATAATTTTAAATCTCTAACTACATTTTGTCAAAAGAAACATGGAATTTTGCATGATGACAAAAACAGACTTTTCTTTGCACTGCAGCCCACCTTCAAATTTAGACATCTCTGCTCTCCAGTTTGAAAAAGGGAGTGACAGTAGAAACAAGGAGGCCACAAACACAAAAATGAGCTTTGAAAAGAAGACAGGATTACATAACAGGAGGAAAAACAATGACATCACATTGAAATACTGCATGTTCTCTGCGAAATGTACAATGTAACTCAAGTCAGTGCAAGTCAGCCATTTGACATTACACAAACAAATAAACACTAAACAGTAAAAAGAGACAGACACACATAGTTGTATGCTGAGCCGTAACTGGAGGACAATAGCTGGAGTTTGGGGGGAAAATCTGTATGCTTGTGTGCATTCTGGCAAGTAATAGGTGTTCAAAGTACTGTACTCCAACTGTGTAAACAAGTAAAATCACTGTTTATGTTTTAACTTTTTCTTTATGTAATCAGTAGCAACAATTGTAATCTTTTGCACATTGGAATGCAGTAATTCAGAATAAGTTTTATGTCAAATTCATTTCCAGATGTAGCCCTCATTAATTTTGTCTTGGGGAGGTCACAAGAAGTAGATTTGTTTGTGACTGATTAAAGGTGTATTTGCAACTTTTCTGGTGGAGGGTCTGATTGACTCCATGCACATGCTATTGCTTTGCCTTTTAAACATATCTTTTTCCATGCGACAAACAGGGGATGCTACCTAGCAAAGTTACAAGTCAGATCTGTGAGAAGGTGACCAGATCAGAATGCATGTTTTTAAATGTACATTTTAGCAATAAAAGATCGAATAAGTGCTAAATAGTTAAGTTTATTGCCATGTAGCAGAACATTTCAATTAAAGCCTAGTAAGTCAAAGAGCAAAAGTCTGTGTTTTCTAGTTTCTCCCTACCACTGAAGTGTGTAGTTTAAGGGACAAATCATTGGCTTATTCATTCCACTTGTGCCAGTGGGGGAGATATGGGAGATTTGTGGTTACGTGTGTCTCTACCATATGATAAACTGAGCTCAAGGAGAAGTATATGAGAAAACGGACTACAGACAGAGTTCTCACCAGGACCCAGGGCTGAGATTAAGGCCTGCATCAGAACACATTACTCTTGCCCTCCCCCCCGCTGCTGTCTCACATGTGCATTTCCCACTGACCCCCAACATTTTTCATGTTTCATATTTTGGGCCTCCCCTCTGGGCTCTTACATACTCCTGCTCAGAGGTGACCCAGACCCCTGTGTTGTGTTTAACCTTTTCTGCTCTGCTCCTCTGCTGTCTGCACTGGATTTGGATTGAG